TGTTTAAAATGTGTAAAACGGAAAAGAGCTTTGGATTTACTCTCAATAGTAATAGCAGAAGATTACTCATGAAACAATTTTGAATGACTATTCCTTCATTCCATGTTTAGTTGAGTCTTATAAAGATACCAATGGAAGCCCTATTCAGTACTGATTATGACTTTTAAATTTCCTAAATCTATAAATAAATTGTTACTTTTTTTCTAGTAAGTCATAACTTTTGTCTTTGCTGTTTTTCAGCAGCATCATGCATTTAGATCTCTGCTCATGTGTGTTTATATTTGGTACTATTGTGGTCACGTGTTCTAAGTTTGAGCTTGCTGATGTTACACTATAAACATGGCTACTCCACTAGCAGTGTGCACTGTGGAGGAACAGAGCAGTGATCTGATTTCTCTGGTCGGAAGGTGTGTTAGGTGCTGAAATTCATCAGAGGCTTTTAACACAATACGGCAACAGTGCACTACTGTGTGGAAGTCTGCTTGAGCAGACTGAGAGGTTAAAAAGTGTCCAGACAAGCATGACCCATGAAGTCACAGATGCAGGACCTCATCTTGGAGTCATCATTTCTCCATCACACACCTACTGCCTACATGCAATTTGGAGTCTAGAGGCTTCCAGCTGAGCCACAGCCTGCCTGCCTCATCACTGTAGGACTTTAAGAAAGAAGTTTGGAGAAGAGGACATCAAAAAAAAAAAAAATTGTCTTTGTGCATGAAAGCCTTGGTTGAAAATTGTTTGAAGTGGTCCATGGGTCGCTATTCCATGGCACACATATTTCAGCTGTGGCAAACCAGGGCTTGACAGGCAGGTTCATGATGACAGCTTGCATTGGGCTGCTGACTTGTTCTCTTACATAGAACATCACCTTCACCACCTACCTACTGGGTGTCTGATTTTGCTTAGTCTGGTCTGTTCCCTAAATCCTTACTGCCATGGGTGACCCTACTGGGAAATGGAACTCTTTACGACATTGCATTCAAGTTACTTGAAACGTGTACACTCCTCCACTATGATACACTATATATACACAGACATGACAGAATTGAATAGACACTCACTGAAACCATTTATTTTATTAAACAAGTAATTTATACAAATGAAGTAATTATAAATGGTCATAAATTTAATAACTAATATTTGGTTGACATCCCTTTTGCTTTTTTTAATACAAGGACCCTTCCAGGCATGCTAGCGATGAGTTCATGAATATCATCTTGATGGATTTCTTGCCATGTTTGACGCAATAATCCTAAAAGTTTGGGCTTAGAAGATGGCTTTCTGTTCTTTTTGTGGAGTTTTCGATCTAATATGCCCCAAAGGTGTTCAATAGGGTCAATATCCGGGGACTGACGTGGCCATGGAAGTTTATTGATCCCATTTTGTCTCAACCAATGTTGTGTTGCTTGAGCAGTGTGACATGGAGCTCCATCTTCCATAAATAGGGAGTCAATTTTGATCATTCTACTACTTGAGAATATTGGAAGGAGCCCTTTCTTTAATATAGAAACATATTTGGTTGAATTAATGTTTCCTTCACACTCCACAAGCTCTGAGTAACCATCACTCCAAATTGCACCCCATACCATTACTGAAAGGCCCCCATGTTTCACCGTTGGCTGCAGTCTTTTTAAATCAAACTGTTGACTAGAGTCTCCATACCCATACTCTTCTACTCGGGAAATAATGTGAATCTTGACTCATCAGGGAAAATGACAGTGGTCCAAAAGGTCACAGGTCTCTCCACCATCTCATGAGCCTAATCCTTTCTGCGTTTGATATTGGCTGAACGGAGAAGTGGTTTCCTTCTCGCAGCTCTGCCATAGTAGCCCAGCTTGTGAAGATACCTGACAGCTGTTCTGGGACTGACATCATCTTGTGTTGCTATGTCAGAGGCCTTGCAACATGGATCCAGTTCAACATTTTTTTCGACAAGACGCATGGTTCTTTCAGAGGGCCCATGGCGGCCTGGATGAGGTTTTGTGCACTTCTTGCCCTCTCTGGTGAATTGTACGATCACTCTATTAACAGTAGAAAGGGGTATTGAAAGAATTTCAGATATTTTTCTTTTACTAAGACCACCTTCATGTTGGCCCACGATATGTCCTCGCTGAAATTCGGATAGGTCTGATGCTCCTTTGGTTCATGGCATGTTCCAGTATTGTTATCTGCAATTTTAATCAAATAATCTAAGTTAATTTATCTTGGTTATTAGAAAAAAAAAATCAGAAATAAAATTTATCTTGGTGTATATTCAATTCTGTCATGTCTGTGTACATTACGTATTTTATGTTAAATCATAAAAACAAAAAAAAAAAAACTTTTTTTTTAAATAAAGTGTTAGGTAAACAAAAACATTAGAAAACAAAACAAAAATTACGAAATAGAACATAAATAAACACAAATATCGAAAAGTTCAATTTAGAAATAGCAGAAATGAAAATATATATATATAAGCTTAAAATACTTTGAGATTATGAAGTCATTATTTAACAAACAATAAATCATTTATACTGCCTTTTTAAAAGTACTAATGCATAAAACTATCAATTGGTAAAAAATGAAAGAGTAGAAAGTGCAAAGTTGATAAATATAACTTTAGTTAAGCAAAAACAGAAAGTAAAAATAAGACAAATGATCTAGTACTAAAACAAATACTAATACAGAAAAAGTGTTAAGAAATAATAATAAACAATACATATATAACTTATAACTATATAATAAATGAAATAAATAATAATTGCAAATTATATTAAATTATTATATTACTTTTAGCAATATTTACTTTTTTCATTTATTCATAAAATCTATTAATTTTTTTTGGAGCTCCACCAACGTCATCTTTCTTTGAATTCAGAAGGCATATATATATATATATAATATGGTTATGCAAAAAGTTCACACCGATTTTTTTTTTAAAGGAAGTTAAAACACAAAACAAAATTTATGCCATTAACTATTTATTCGACGAAATGTGAACAATTTTGTTGCACAACCTTTCTCCATTTTTCCTTCAACTTAAAGATTCCATCTTCCCAGATTTTTGGTGGTTTCTTGGCAACAAACTCATTAAGGTGCCTTTTTTTTTTTTTTTTTTTTTTTGGTCATCCAAAGAATTAAAATTTTTACCATTGAGATTATTTTGCAAGGACTTGAATAAATGAAAATCCAAAGTACCAATGTTTGGTGAATATGGTGGGTGGGCAACACATCCCAGCCAAGCTGCAGCAATTTTTGCTGGGTCGCCAAAGAAACATGAGGTCTGGCATTATCCTGATGGAAAACACCACCACCTTTTCTGTTCACAAATTCTGGGCATTTTTACTGAATTACTACCATTTAATTTGTCCAGTTGTGAGCAGTACTTTTCACAATCAATTGACTGTTTACTTGGCAGAAGCTCATAGTATAGGATTGCTTTCTAATCCCACCAGATGCACAGCTTGACTCTCTTAGTATGAAACCTGCTTTTGAGGTGGCTGAAGTTGGCTCATGTTATTTACCCTCTGATCATTTTTGTTGAACATTGTTGTAAACAATCCATTTCTCATCAACCGTCATAATTTGCTTAAAAAAGGGTTCATTTTCATTGCGTTTATACAACAAATGACTAATGAAATGTAATCCAAAAGATTCTTTTCACTTAAATCATGTGGTATCCAAACATCATAGCAATTTGAGTACCCAAGCTTCAGTAAGTCCTCATGGATAGTGGATTTTGATAAATTTAGTGTTTCTGCCAATTCCCACGTTATATAATGTGGGTTATTCTCAATCAATCTCTTGATTTGATCATCATCTGTGGTTGGGGATCTTCCTGAACATTCTTCAATAAGGCTACAATAACCAACTGTAAACGTAGTGAACCACTTCTGTACAGTTCTGTCAGCTAAAGTTCCTTCACTGTACACAGCACATCTTATTTGTTGCTTGTGAGGCATTTTTGCCTTTATGATAAAAAAAAGCATCATAGGGATGCAAAATTGACAGAAATTAAGTAATTTTAAACTTTCTTTCAAAAGAGAGAGTTTGAAGTGTACTCTAAACAGAAGTGTAAGCATATTCTATCTGTCAATAAATTTAACATGTTGGAACATAATGACTAAAAATCAGCATGAATTTTCCGGACAACCCAATAATCTCCAAACAATTTGATTAAAATAAACTGACAAGGTCCTGTCTGATTTTGCTTATCATATTTTCCAATAGGTGTTGAGTATTGGGCACAAAGTTGTGGATAAACTGTCCAAAGTTCATATTTTGGTATTTTTGTTCTCAATAAATGCTGTACATGACATCATACTAGAACAAGTTCAAACTTACATCTTCCCAAAGAATACCAGGATGTACACAAAGGAATTCTAAATACCACATTGGTTCTTGATAATCACTGCAATATTCAAAAGTACTTGAACAAAAATAACAAAATATGAACTTTAGTCAGTTTATCCACTACTTCGAACAAAATACTCAACATCTTATCAGAAAATTGGAAAAATATAATAAAAATATTAAACACAGACCGTCGCTTCATTTTAATCAAACATGTTTGAATGAATACTTGCTGCCTAAATATGCCACATGCACACACACATATATATATATATATATATATATATATATATATGGTATAATGATATATAATTTTGTATTACAAAAATTTTGAAATTACCTGTGTCTCTCTTTTTGTGTGCATGTGTAGATGTGGCAACATCAACATAGCCCAGTCTGATAAAATCCTCACAGTTGAAATGTGTCACAAGAAATTTTCTAGTTTGTCATATTATAAGCACTAGCTCTGATTGTGTTGGTTGACTCATCTTTAACACGGTTGTTTTATTTTTTTTATACTGATAACAGATGTAACAACTATTAAGAGTGAGATTAATTTTCACTTGCATTTTTTGGCGGAGGGGGTGAGGGTAATTAAGATTTTGTGTGTCGGGGAAAATATTTTTTACTGAACAGAAATTTGATTTTAATGCTTTGCTTTATTGCAGATGAGGCACAGAGTGAAAAAGCCAAAGAGAGTATACGTGCTAAGTGTACACAATATTTGGACCGAGCCGAGAAGTTGAAAGTCTACCTAAAGAAGAAACAGAAACAGCTTGTGAAGGATGGGGAGTCAACGGGAAAAAGGTACCATAATGACAAAAGGTTAGAACCCCTTTTTTAGGCGTTCTGTTCCTTTTGAAACATATTTTGGTTGTCCTTTTTTTTTTTTCTTGGGGACCCTCAGGTGTGCTGTTTATTTTTCTCTCTCTCTCTCTTTCTCTGCCTCCCATGCCCCTCTTGGGTATGCTGTTTTTTTTTTTGTTTTTTTTTTTTCTCTTTCGGAGTCCCCCCTCTTAGGTGTGCTGTTTCTCTCTCTCTCTCGGACCCCCTCTTGGGTGTGCTGTTTTCTTTTTTCTGTCTTGATTTTGCTGTAAAGTTTTTGCAAATCTGAAATTTTTCTTACTTATTCATTCAGCTAAATGTTAAAATCATAGAAATATTCATTTCTTGTAAATTAAATGGTTTTAACAATAATAAGATGAATTTGGTAAACCCTCAATTTAAAACATATGAACAAAAAAAAAAGGGAAAAAAGATACCTATAGGTTACTGATGGATTTTTCTCTTAATAATGGCAAGAATAAACTGGTAAAAAATAATAAAAATAATCACATACTATAAGACTTTATTGTAAAATTAATTCATTATTAGTTCTCTCTGACTTTTGTGATTTTTCAGTTGAGGTATGTACCTTTTAGTAGCCATGATCTGAACTGGAAGATAATATAGGAGAAGGAAATAAATGTCAATTTGTTGTTTAAGTAAATAGATTTTTTGAACCCTGACTGCTTACTTTTCTCTTTTAAAACAATCTAATTTCAAAGCCAGAACCAAAAAAGTTGCAAATCTCATTCTTTTATATTAAGGAGACTAATAAATCAGCATTTATGATGCATGATCATTACAAATATGATATCTCTTTAAAGAGGATCCTAGTCTCCTGTGGATGCAATCACCATCGGAAGAGAAACAGTCAACAGGGAAGCACTAGATCTGCGGTGTGACCAATAATTTGGGCAGAAGTTCCCTGACTAAATTTTACAATTCCCTGACGTTTTTATCGTCTTAATCACCTCCAAATCCTTGTGAGTTTTGTTGACATTCATTGGTTTTGAGGACATCATTTTATGTCTGCTTTCTAGGAACTGACAGTAGTTTTCAACCCATGTAAAAAATCTGACTGAAAGATGGACACACATATAGATAAACAGATACACAGATGTTGTTATGAAATATCATATAAAAAGTTATAGGGGCCTTCAAAAGCAAGAAATATCCCGGCTGTTAGAAATTTTCAGGACCTTACTTGATTCCTAGTTTTCCCTGATCATCTGTCACCCTGGATTTGTCAGGCAGCCTCTTTTGTAGAAGCAAACTGCAAGAGAAAGAGTTAGTGTGTGTCCTCTCTAAGTTGGGACCCTCTCCCTGCTATCAGCTTCTCTCTTACACATAAATATACCATACCTTAAAACTATATTTTTATTAATGAATGACATTTCTTAGTTGTCAGATAAGGTAATTTAATTTATGGACCCACGTTTCCTTAGACACAGTATTCTTTCATTCTCATCTAAACAAGCTGAAAGCAACAGACATTTGGTGGAAATTCTTTGTTTATAGCTTTTCTACTAGTCATCTCAATTTTTGTTTTGGATACTATTATGTATCCTATATACACACACACACACACACACACACACACACACACACAAGGAAATCTGAAAAGATATGTTTAAAATCTAGGTAATATTAGCTTGCACTATCTATATTGTAAGTAGGGGTATAGACATGAAAAAGAAATAAATAATTTGCATTTTTCTTGGTGATTAGTCTCACAGTTACTCCCTTTGTGCATTGAGCTGTTTTCATGTAAAATGGGAAGAGTAACGTGACAATGCATTATTGTTTTATAGACAAAATATTTATACAAAGGTAAATTAGAACTGTAAGAGATGTGATGAAGTGTGCATAAGAATTTTAAATAAAATAAAATCCTCTCTTTACATACATTGTTTCTTCTAATAAAAATTCTAATATATCACTGCAGTATATATCCCAAATTAATATATCAATCAATTTTTATTTAAATTTGTAGACATCGATAATAGATAACACAGAATTTAGGTAAAATAAAGGTTATAAAGTATTTGACATATTGCATTTACTTTTAGCTGACTTCCTCATCTTTGCCCCTTTTCCCCTCCTCCTCCTTCTCTTAGTCCCTTTCCTCCTCCTCCTTCTCTTAGTCCCTTTCCTCCTCCTCCTTCTCTTAGTCCCTTTCCTCCTCCTCCTTCTCTTAGTCCCTTTCCTCCTCCTCCTTCTCTTAGTCCCTTTCCTCCTCCTCCTCTTAGTCCCTTTACTCCTCCTCCTCTTAGTCCCTTTACTCCTCCTCCTCCTCCTCTTAGCCCCCTTTCCTCTGTTTTCCTTTGTAACTCTTAGTAAATTTTGTCTTTTTTCTATCTCCGCTAATCCCTGTTCTGCCAACAATTCACTCAAACTCTTTAGGTAGGTTATGTGTTGTTTTCCTATGTTCCTATTGCCTTCAATATGGCTGCCTAAGCTACTTGAAAATTTTTTTCTTCCTTTCTAGTCATTTTAATTTTCATTAATTCCATGATAAAGACAGTGTTAAAATTACTGTGGACCAGTTCATAGTTATTTTGTTAAATGGAATTCTACAAGATGAAAGTTGACCTAATTTTCTTTTTTCTTTTTATTGAAAGCAAATCCAAAGATTACAAAGATTCTTCCAGTGATTCTGATTCAGAGAAAGATCCTGACAAAAAGAAATTTGAAACAGCTCTCACAAGTAGGTGAAAATTTTCTTTTCCTCTTCTCTCCAAGTATTTTCACTGATTGGACAGTTTTATTTACAAGTTTCATTTTGAATATTTTAGGTGCCATAATGATAGAAAAGCCAAATGTGAGCTGGGATGATGTGGCTGGGCTGGAGACTGCAAAGGAAGCCTTAAAAGAAGCGGTTATCCTGCCAGTAAAATTCCCGCATTTGTTCACAGGTAAACCTATTTATAATTACATGCTGTTGTCTGACACTATTTAGCTATGGTAATTGGCTAACTAATTAACCATAGAAATTAAAAACGGGAAATACTTAAGGCGAGAAAGTGCTATACCGAAAGATAGACTGAGCGACATTAAAAAGAAGAATTTATTTCATTTACAAAAGAAAGATACTTTTCGTAAAAGACAGAAAATCCATAAGGAAGTGAGACTGTGATTCTGTCAAAATTAATTAATGTCACGATAAGGGAGTGACGCACCAATGTAAACAGAATTCAGATAGAAAAACAAAGCCAGACGACACATGCGGCCATGGAGAAAATTTGGCTTGGGACCACCAATTTTAATTCCTGATTCCAGCAAGGGAAGCCATCTGGTATATGCACGAATTTTGACATGAAAAAGAAGGTCAAAAAGGGGATCATTATTATTGCTTATTCAAACGGTTGACGTCAGACATAGCGTCTCAAAAATGAGCATCTGGTGATAAGAGAATTTTAAGGCATGAGAAAAATAAAAGAATTTAATTATCAGGTAAACACGATCACCCAGTTAAAAGTTGACTAAGTCAATCTGAGTATCCACAAAATCAAGATGTGATAAGAATTATTCGGCAATCTGGGATTTGTAAATGTTTTGGCCGAAGGAAAAAAAAGGATTTTGTAAACAAAATTCTATATGATAATTCTAAGAGGGTCGGTCTAGCCACACCCACACTGCCAAGAGATTATTGGCCAACTAGTAGCATGGGTGATAAGCAGAGGTGAATGTATGAGAAAGACAGAAGTTGTTAATGCCCACTGAGGGGATTGATACGAGATACAAATGTGAGAGAGGAAGAGTCTAGGAGGATAACTCTCCTCCGACCTTCCCTCATGGACGAGGGAGAAAACCCCGAAATGGAAAGTGATTATTCTTCCAAAAATGAGAAGTAATTAATTTTCCTGGCCTAAGAACAAAGAGAATTCTTGTTGGGAATTGAGAATTGTCAAGAAACCCAAGCCACGACAGGCCTCCCACACAAGAGTTGGTGTTCATATAAACAAACGTCTTGAAGCAGCGAGTCAGAGTTTTCGGCAGAGTTTTGGGGAGTTTGGAGTTCCCGACAATTCAAGTTTGGAGTTAGTTTTGAGAGTGTTGCCTCGCAGAAGCTGACTGAAAGATTTCCACGTCCTTTTCGACTTAGTCTTCCTACCAAAAGCAAGTTTTTATTGACGAACGACTTAAGATACCATAACTTGCTTAAGAAACACAAAAAGTGTCACGAATCCATAGAAACAGGCTGGGAGAGAAACACACTCCTGTATTCAACAGATAGATAAAAATAATTGTTATTTCTCAACATATTTGAACCTCTTGAGTTGTTTTAGTATTTTTTTTACTTACGCTTGTGCGGTATCACCTTTACCCCGGATTCAGCTTGCACTACGGCCAGACGCCTGATTGATTTCGTCTACCTAAGATCAAAGTCACAATGTGGGTAGGTTAGATTTGAGATCAAAGTAGTTACTTCGGTAACCAGACGTTGGAGGTGAGCTGGGAATGACAAGTTGGTATCGAACCAGGAATGACCAGATCGACCAGGACACAGGCTGGTGGCAGTGACAATGAGTCAACCCCAAATGCTGGTGGAAGAAACCTTACAACTTCATGCCGCAACTGGGAGTTGACCACGGGTCGACGACGCAGTGTCATATATTGACGTTGCGACCAGTGGACGTCACATGTTGGCACTGGTCTGCGACCAGTGGTGGGTGTCACAGTTGTGAAACGGCTTTTTATGTTCTGTTTCCCAAACAATAATAAATGATAATGTAAGTTTATGTTAGTAATGTCTACAAGACTAAATATTTTAATACATAAAATAATTGTTTATTCATTTCTGGACCAAGTCGAATTAACGTCAACCAAATGTTCTTGCAAGGCTGTGCAGGATTTATTCCCTCTTTGTTGGTCTGGTGTTTATATAATTTTCTCTTATCCAGTTGCCTTGCATGATGGGTTCACTTCTTTGTTTATGCCGGCACATCCTTTGAGGCCCAATTCTGTACTTAGGCTGACCTATAAGATGACCTCAAAGTCACTGAGGCACCTAGATCTTATGGTGTTCTGTGGTGTCACCAAGTACAAAAATTACTTTGACATCTCTTTGGGTGAACCCAGTATATATTGGGTATTTGGGTCATCGCAGATCAACTCTTCTTAGATCATAATTCTTGATGGACATTAATCCTTTAGCATTCAACATGCTCAAAACCACCGCATAAATATTGGCACTCTAAAGTCTCACTGTTTGCCTGACTTCCTGTGTTATATGCAATGATGTTGTCATATATTATGACAGAGTATACATGGGGTGGATTTCAGCAGGTTGAGAGCAAATATTTGTGGGTTTGGGTGTGTTTGATGCTTAATGGGTTAAATTTGATTCTGACTTTTGGTACTTCTTATGATGAATCACATCCAATAATGTCTACTGAGGCGAGATTGAGATGGTCACATTGCTGAGTGGTTAGAACATTCACTTTCCAACCATGAGATCCATGGTCGATTGCCAGGAAGGTGGCTTCTTGATGAAGTTGGTCTGTGGCACTGTTGGAAAGTATCTGAAAATCTTACCCTGGGTTCATTGAAGCCTTGTGAGTGAATGACAATGATTGTGCAAGCATGAAATAACAAGACATCATAACTGTGATGAGCTTACTGAACTTGTTCAAACTGTTGTTCATGCTAGATGATGCACACATTCTCTGAAACTGTAACTAAGGTATATTATCACTATAGTTGCAGTATATAAACCACAGGTGGGATCTTTTAGGTGTTAAACAAACACAAATGTGCCTGAGCAGGCAACTGCAACAGGGAATGACTAGCTTCTCTAGCATACAGGCATGCTTGGAAAAAGCAGCCAGCTATCTCTTTACCTCATTTTTTTATTTACAGATTTGCTTTCTTAGTATTAACTGAATAAATTATCATTTTCACTTCTTTCAATAGCAAGTCTGCAAGTATGGTGATAAACTACATCTGGCAGCAAGGCCTCTGATTGGGAGATTGGAGGTTTTGAGGAGCATGGAAACACCTCTTAATTGCTGTTGTTCCCAGGTCCACCCTGACCTGAGGGGATAACCTGTGTTAGGGTCCCAGCTATGGGCAAAGAGTGAACCCCCCCAAACAAAAACAAAACACTATGAAAGTATAAAAATACATTTTTATATAGTAAAAATAGCAGCAACACCTATTTATAGCAAAATGATCAACAATGCATTTTATCTGTAATTGAAGGTATGCAATTACATATAAAATATATTTAGTTGAAGCCATAAAGTTTTGTTCAAAATATTTAGATTTCACCATTAAATAACCCATAGAGGTTGTTATGCTGTTAAACAAAATCAACTGAAACCAACCTACAATAGCACTTTCCTTGCTTGTTTAAAGGAAATTGAAGACACAACTTGTTCTTTATAGAATATATAGTATTAGGAAAATAAAAACAGGTTTTTTTTTCACCCTTTCTCTCTCTATGTATTGAAGCTGCTTATAACATTTTGTCAAAAAAAAAAAAAAATAAAAATTCATTTCTTGAAAGAAACATTTCAGGAGCAGCTTTTCAAAAAGGAAGAACAAAAAAAAAAAGAAACAAGTCTTCATTTTTTTGATTGCACAATCTGCAGTATGAAGATAGATTTTGAACATTATCTTACCTTTCCACCTGAGAGCATATTCATCACCTGCCTTCCATATATTGTGATCATGTCATTTAAACAAGAACAAAAATTTTCCTCATTGAATTAAGAGTTCTTAGCACATGTGACTTGAAAAGAAAACAATGATATATGTTAACATTCCACACCACCTTCAAATAAAAAGTTCGGAAGGAAACCCCCATCAATACTGGAAAGAGTGATAAAAGTTACTGGACTGAAGAAACTTGTTTTTTTTTTTTGTTTTTTTTATTAAAAAGAAGAAAAAAATGTTATAAGAGAAATATTTTATAAATTTCCAAAAACAGTACTGGCTGCTCAGTCACTGAATACTAAATGTTTTCTTGTAGGGAAACAGTTGATATTACCCTTACTACCATTATCATTTTGTCGAAGCTGGAAAAATACAAAGTTCTGCAAGGAGCTATAGATAGGTGACCTATATATTTTTTTGATCAAAGTTGGATGCCAATGTTTTATTAGAAATTTTGACCTCAATATACCTGACTAAATTCAGAGGAGAGAAAATCTATTAACATTTAGCACTCTGCATCATTTCTAAATATTATGTCCCCTTAAAATATAGTGTTTTATATATTACTTCTATATATTTCAAATTGCAGAAGCCTGGCTCTCAATTTAAGTCAAGATTGTTTTAATTGTTGCCATAGAAGGTTACATATGACTACACAACCAAGAAATTCAAATTTCATTAGCAGGAGTAACATTTTGCTTAGTGGAATTAGTCACTGACAGAGTGCTATGAGTTAAGAGGCTGCTTATTCTTAGATCTGTCACAATACATCCTGGCAGAAAAAAAAACAAAGTTAACTGATGACATGAGATATTGCTGAGGTACCCTGAGTTAGCATTTTTGCTCAGCAGATCAAAATAGTTTTTTTTTTTATTTTTAGTTTTTTTTATTTGTGATACAACAGGATGTGAATACGAAACTGAGTTTTTCATTTTTATTATTTACTCTTCTGTAGGTAAAAGAAAACCATGGCGGGGAATACTGCTATTTGGGGTAAGGAATGGTTTCAATCATTATAACCATGTCGGTTAGACATTCTAGATACTCTGTTTGTCTGTTGTAAGAAAACATTCTCTTTTTGCTTATTTTTATTCTAATTGAGGCATTAATTTACATTAAACTATAGTGTTCAAATGTTATGGAATTTTTATGCTAAAATGAACATGAAATTCATAATCGTTTATATATTGACATATTTTTAATGAAATATTTTCTTATTAATCTTAAATTTTGATTTAAAATGCATAGTAATTGATGATATTTTTAGCTTTCATAATTTCATTTTTTTTTTTTTTTTTTTTTTTAATCTCATCTACTTTATAAAAAACCAAAGTATAGGAAAGAGAAAAACTAAAAAAATACAAGTTATTGATGGGGAGGTAATCATCATATTACTGTTTTAATTTCTATTTTATTTGTCATAAAAGAATTTTAAAAAAATTTTCATTCACAATTCTTTTGACAGCCTCCAGGAACAGGCAAGTCTTATCTTGCTAAAGCTGTTGCTACAGAGGCTAATAATTCCACATTTTTCTCAGTAAGGTCTTCAGATCTTGTGTCCAAATGGCTGGGAGAAAGTGAAAAGTGAGTTAAATCTTTTTGTTTTTTTATAAAGATATGCCATTACCTAATGCAGCACATTCCCGTGACTGATTATTGCAGCTGTTTGTTAAATGATTTCAATTAAAGGAGCTCATAAAAATCTATTATTATTATTATTGCTTTAAACACAGACATATTAAAATGGGGCTAAAGACAATATAGAATAACAAACATAAAAAGACTAAGGGGAAGCGAGGATAATAAAACTTTAAAGAGGTGAAATGAACAAAAAAAAAAAGTAAAGAATTGTTTCACAGCTGTTTAAAACCCTTGTTTTTTTTGTCATATAGGAAAATCCAACATGGTTGCGTAAACGAAATATCGCGTCAAAAATCTCATTCGTCAGTAACATTTTAAACACCTCATAGAATGTAAAGTTCTTAAAGAAAACCTATGTCAAAGTGTTTTCCTGAATCCTTGATGACTTGGCTGTCCGAAAATGATAATATCAAGATGAAATAATGAAACTGACCGTGAAAAATACAATTATCTTTGAACAGGTTTTCATCAATTAGTAAACTTCTGGACCCTTTAGGGGCGACCTTATAGGATCCAGACGGCTATTTTTTGCACATGGAATTATTCACTGGTAATTAATCTTCGATTTGGCTGTGGAAAAATGTCATTCGGCCAACATAGCATTAAGAAATTATGCACAATTTTCTGAGAAAATCCCTTTTTTAATGAAAAATATTCATTTTCGCTTCAAAATAACATCATTCAAAAAACAATTCCTTTCTCTTTCATTTGGCATGAACATCATTGAATAAAAAGAAAGGCTAAATGGACGGCGATGGGAAATACAAAAGATATGCAGCGAAAAAAAACAATGTTGTCTGCTAAGTGTTGTTGTCATCACCGGGTCACGGGGTGTTAAAAAAACAAAAACTTATCAAGCCATTGTTCAAACATAGGTTATATGAAGCCCTAGTAATTGTGAACCCTTTTTATTCACCCTTTGCTTTATCTGGGAGTGGTGGGTTTATTACAACTTGTTCTAAGGTTTGCCGTCCGTTTATTGCTAGCTGGCTGGCTGGCTGGCCTTTGACCTAGACGTCAAAGTCAATTAGGTTTATTTTCCTTATCACTATTTTTAGGAAAAAAAAAAACTTTTGGTTTCTGGTGGTTAGAATTGCAGATAAATCTCTTGCCTTTTTTACTAAAAGATTTCCGTGGCCAGGTGTCAATTTTTTAACCCTTGGCAGTCATAATTGAAAATTAATAATGGATTTTGTCGCATTTTTGAACCCCTAGGAATGTTGATTTCCTTCAAAACTCTCAATTTTATGCCTGAAATAGTTTGATTATGATCTAGGCTTTCTGATTTTCAAAAAAAAAAATGGTTAATTTCCCATTAATGGGGAAATATTTGTTTAGAACAAGAAAAAAATGCAAAATTTTTCACTATTTTTTTCACATTTACCCACTGAAATAATTTTTGAGTCATTTACACCAGCTAATTTTACTTTTAAATGAAAGAATATATCTTTTGCTTTCAGAAAATACCTAGTTTCATGGGGTTCAGATCAAAAGTTTCCTTGATATTCGTTTAGGTGATGATAAAACAGTCATTTTTCAATATTTTACCCCTAAAAAAGTATGAAAACCCATATTTTGAGAGAAAATAAGCTGTGACAAAATGACTTTTGCTATTTTTGTGATGATTTTCACTTGGGAAAGAAAATTTTTACCATAGGAAACCTGAATTGACTTTATTTAAGTTCAGTGGGTCTGTAGGAAACCTCAAACAGCTGTGGTTTGAAAGGGGAAGAAAAAAAGATTAAACTTTTTTTTTTTTTTTTTGAAATATTTAAAAAAAATTGTAACTGTTTTATCCTTGCATAAGGTCTGAGTGGTGGATGTTTACCAGCATGTAACTTTTTTGCCTTTTTGTCACCAGAATTCTATCTTTTACTCTTTCACTAGCTAAATATTACTAGAATTACAGTTTTACTTGGGCCTGTTTTTGTTTATATTTTCACTTATAAATTCAAATTTTTAAAACTTTTCCAGGTTAGTACGGACATTATTTGACTTGGCTAGAGAGCAAAAGCCTAGTATCATTTTCATTGATGAAGTAGATGCACTTTGCGGTTCACGAACAGATAATGAATCGGAATCAGCTCGTAGGATTAAAACAGAATTCCTTACACAGATGCAAGGTGTGGGTACAAATAATGATGGCGTTTTGGTATTAGCAGCAACCAATATCCCATGGGCCTTGGACTCTGCTATCAGGAGAAGGTAAGTCTCTCTCTCTCTTTCCTTCATTCATTCACTACTTTTGAAAGGTTTAATGGATTTCTGTGTGTGCGGATATACTGGCAACTCAAGCATCCAGGGTACCACCATGTCATGTGTTTGGAATCTTTCAAAACTAAAGCTTATAAAAACATACATGAGGTCATCCATGACTCAAGACAGGTTAAATTCTTTAGTTATTTTGTCAATAGAAAATGAACTTGTAAAGAAGATAGGTATAGAAAGTACCATGAAAAGATTTGAAGATCTAAAGACTAGAAAAATGTTTTAGGTAGGATAATGAATGGCTTTTTTTTTTTTTTCAAGCTTGTATTAAATTGTATGTTGTAATAAACTTATAAATTTTCAGTTTTTCTCCTTGTCAAAATTTACAAATTTATACTTGTAAGGGTGCCAAAGTTCAGTTTGCCTGGGGTGCCAGCAAGCCTAGGGCTGACCCTGGATGCACCACCCAGTTTTAGAGTATTTGAGAAAATTAACACAAAAAAAAGTTCATTTGGGTTTGAATTGTCAACTTATGAAAAATAAAATCTAGGTTTTAATAAGTAATGCACAAATTGTCTAATGAAACATGATTTCTTATTTAAAAATATATTGTTAAATATAACAGACAATGAATGTCTATTGTGTCTGATCATAAGCTGTTCTAATGTTTGTATGTTTGCTTTAATTTTGGGTGAAAATAAAGACAAAAATTGTCCAACATTTGGATATTTTTTTTTATTAAGTTGTTCCTTTATCTAAGCTTTTGGCTCACTTGAGCCATCTTCAGAGTGGTTATATGGACATTTTAACAAAGATATTTACCATCGAAGGTAATATTTTGTTATGTTGGTATAGAAGATTAATATTTGATGATAACGGTCGTGCAATAGCAGATGCAGTTCATAAGTTCAAGATGCGGTTCTATGATGTCATATCATATGAGAGGCAGAGATATTAACAAAAGAACCATGTCTAGATGCAATGTAATGTGTTGTGACTAGTTATGATCTGCTGCCTGAATACACTAAATGATTTCTTATATACATCATTTTTTTTTTTTTTTTTACTTCAAACATTGTTTTTAGTGGATACCCATATTTGAAATAGTCATCCTGTTTTTATTTGAAACACTATATTACATCAATTGTCTAAGGGCCTGAGAAATCTGAAGGTCATCTTTCTTTGGGACAAAACAATTGAAATAAATATTTATGAATATGAAATAGTGCAGCAGTCAGCATTCACTCTTTTTAACAATGTTTAGTCTATTTTGATTCAATAAAAGAACAATGTGTAGAGAAGTATATAAAACTTTGAAGAATGTCTGAGATAAAGAATTATTATATAATGATCAAGTAAAAAATTTCTTATGATGAATTATTTTTACTAGACCATTATTGGACTTGTAGGGGTTAACAATGAAGATTATCCATTATCTCCTACCTTTACTATTCTCTCAACCTTTGCCTATAGCTTCTCATTCT